GCCACACTGTGGCAGGCGTCCCACATATAAAGTAGAGGAAGATGGGCATGGATATTAGCCCAGGGCCAATCTTCCTCAGCAAAAAGAGGAGGATTGGCAACAAGTGTTAGCACAGGGCTAATTTTCTTCACCAAAAAAAAAAAAAAAAGGAATGGCTAGTGAACTAGAGGGGATATACATGATGGAGTTAGAAGGCTCCAAGATTAACTTATCTCTTCATTGGAAACAGGAGCAAAAACCCATCATCTACCCTCTCTGGACCTAACAAAACATGATATGATACCTAGTATCTTACTTGGATGGCTATCCTGATGTGTGTTGCCTGTTTGCAATTTATGGTTTTGTGCCTCTTGTTCACCTCTTGTGTGGCATTTAACTTGTCCAGATTCTGGTTCCCCTTGATGTGGCTAAGGCAAGTATACACAAGACAAAATAATGAGGTGTGTCTGCATGGGGGGAAGAGGGAATGGTGAAAACAACGGCTGCAGTAGAATGGTGTATTCTGAGCTTGGTGAGAGTTAATATGATTTTGGCTTTGGAGCACTGAGTAGGCCTGCTGTCCTGGAGGTAGGTAGCACACAATGAAGGGTATTGCTCTACTATAGGATTTTCCAGTTTCTTTCTTGCTACTAGATTAGAGATATACTACATATACTTCTCTTGCAAACAGTGAGAGGTATATGTACATCTAGATTTAGGGGTCAGCATGGTGGTTAAGCCACTGTGCCAGCACTGTGGCATAGTGGTTAAGTTCATGTGCTCCGGTTCAGTGGCCTGCATTTGCGTGTTTGGATCCTGGGCATGGACCTATACCACTCGTCAGCCATGCTGTGGTGGCGACCGACATACAAAATAGAGGAAGACTGGCACAGATGTTAGCTCAGAGCAAATCTTCCTCAGCAAAAAAAAAAAAAAAAGATTTTAAAGAGGACTTTCCAAAGCAGGATAAAATGAAAGCTCTCAGTCTGAAACCACGAGTTTAAAGACACTAGAGAGAAAAGAACTTATCTATAGCATTGGCTCGGAGTCTGGTGTGGTAGGCTGTCCACTGCAAAGGATGAAGTGGGCCATTTCAGTCACTGTGGCCATGGTGACCAAAATGGAACCATGGGCCTGGGATGGGAGAAAATTGTGGATGAAGTTGTAAGGAAATCCACTGGGTCTCTTAAACTTGAATCCTAATCTGCCAAAGGTGACAATGGAAGAGAATCTCCACATAGGGAGGGGACTGTCAAATTGTTACTAAAACCCTTGTTCTGAGGTTAAACTTTTCCTTGGGGATCTTTCATAAACCACCATTGAGACCAAGAGAACTCAGGGGGGAAGCACTCCTCTTTTTGTCTGCTTCTTAAATACCGTAGCAGAGACCAACCTGGAATAGACTAGGCTATTTGTTTGCCCCACTCTCTATCTGCCTACCTATTCATTTTCTAACCCCCACACAATTTTCTGTCATTGTTTTCCCCTTTATATTGATTAAAAATAAAGTGTTAGGAGTTTAAACAACTCTATTTCCTTTGGAACTACTGAATAATGTATTATGTAGAAATGTCAAACACACTTGGATTGTAGTTAGTGCTGTATGGGGAAGTGCTTCAGGCAGTACATTTGAAACATTTGAATGTGGATACCTAGAAGGGTATGGACTCCCTTTCACCATACTGCTCACCACTCATTATCTTATACTGGGCTTAACTTTCCCCAGTCCTTGAAAGCTTTTCAATTTGAATCTTTGATTTAGATTAAATTGGACAAAAAGTTCAGGGATAAGTAGAATGATGCACTAATAAACAGACTTACAAAACATTAATATTTACCTTCATTTTTAGGTCTCCAGGAAAGCGTCTTTGCTTGGCTCCTACTAGGCAGTTCTGTGGCAGATGCCATTTCCCCTGTATCAGTGAGGAGGGCTCTCAACATTTCTTAACTTATCTAAGTCCAAACCCTAAAAAGGTAAATCCAGAAGTGCTACCTTCTACCTGTTGTGTTCCAAGTTTTTCTGTTTAAAGATTCTCTTCTTCAAACGACTGATAATGACAACATCTACCTTATTTAGGGAAACCTTTACACCCTACCCAAAGGGGTATGGTCTTGTTCTACAACTGCAAAAATATAGTCCTCTCAGAGTACAATACAACAGGCATAATATCTGAACTGATGATTTGCACAAAAGGTAAGAGGGAGAGGCTTCATTCTGTTAATATACAGCTCAGAAGTGGGGTAGGTAGCCCCTGGACCTCACCCGGGAACTGGTATCATCAGTTCTGCGTATTACAGGGCACTGTGGCAGATTCAGTGTTCTCAGATTCAGGGTGTCACAGATTGAGTTCTGTGATTTATTTACACCTCAGCTTGTTCACCAGTGCAGCAGTATCAAGAGCCAGTTAGAACACCCAGATCTGGCTCCCCAGGCAGGTGGATATATAAAGCTAGTCATTATGATCTACGAGGCCTCCTTCGTTGCATGCACCCCTCTCCTAAGTCACACTAGGCTTGAGGTGCAGTTGCTCAGGAGTTCCAACTGCCTGCTTCTGCTGTTGGGTGAGGGCCATAAGATCCAAGTTCTCACACTAAAAGACCTCTCAGCATGAAATATGGGTGCCAAGACACCCAAAACTTCCTGGAATGTAGGTGATCTTAAAACTAAGTTGTTCAAAAAACGTGCCTCAATGTCTCTGCCCCAAACTTAGCTGCCTAGAGATTTACAACTATCTGAAATTCAGATAAGCAGAGGGTAGCTCCTGCAGTGCACTTTCTGGCTTTCACGGCCAATAGCTTTAGTAATGATTGTTTAGCTCTGCCAGGGATAGAAGGAACCTAGATCAGGCTCTTCCTAAGTCAAGATGACCTTCAAACTCTGTGGATTAGTCTCCTATGGTAGTAATAGTTATAAACAACAATTTCTACTCATGTATTTTTGGTGAGAACTAAATGATAACTACTTCCTGATGACTGCAGACAATACCGATTATGTGACCTTGGGCAAGTTATTAACCTCTATCTGTATCTGCCTGTAAAATGGGAATTTTAATAGTACCTAGTTTATAGCATTTTTATGAGTAGTAAATGAGTTAGTATGTGTAAAGTGCTTAGATCAATGTCTGGCATATAGCAAATATTCCCTAAATCCTAGCCTGGAGAGGTAAAATGGTTTGCCTAAGGATAAAGAGCTATTAAGTGCCAAGTATCAAAGTTGGAACTCAGGAGATCTGGCTCCTGGGTCCACATTGTGAACCTACCACACTCTGCTCCTTTATAAGCCTTCTCCTGAGGTTTCCTAGGAAACCTTATTCTACTACTTACCACTGCATTCTATAGTTCAGGCCCTGATAAGTCCACATCTGAGCCAGTCCTATTTTGTCTTCCTAACTTGACTCTCCTACCATCTACCCTGAATGCTACTACGATCTTAAGAATCCTAAGCACCGTTGTTCTAGGTCCTGGCCACCCCAATGACCTGAAGTGCCTTCCTCCTCTGCATTTATCAAAGCTAAGAAGCAGTTACCAAGTACTCATAAGCAGTACTGGGCCACAGATTCCATACTGTCTTCTAATGTGTTGAATTGTTGCTGAAAACTGTTGTTGTGTGAAACAGGCAGAGTTGGTGAGAGGAAAGCACATGGGAGCTCTCAGAACCTGATCCTTCAATCCCCACTTGACCACAATCTCAGGTTTTTCATTTGCAATACAGGCCAGGCCAACCTCACAGGGTAGTTACCAGGGGGGAGAGGGAAGGGCGGGGAGGGGGGATGGAAGGGCAGGGTTGGGGCATGCAGCAAGTCCTTATCAAATGTTGGTTGATTTCTGCCTGACTCAATCTCCCCAAAGAACTTGTAAGCTCTTTGAAGGCAAGAGCCTTGACTCATACATCTTTGGTATTTCTCAGAAGTCCTGGACATTAGAGGCACTTCATGAGTATTTAATCTGATCACTTCAACAGCTACACTTCGGTATCTGGGCTTGCTCAAGAACCTACAATGGCTCTTATGACAAAATCAGGCTCTGGAGTCTGACTTCAATGTTGGTCACTTACCAGCTCCGTGACCTCTGGAAAACTACTTAATCTCTCTGAGCCTCAGGTCCCTTATTTGTAAAATGTTAACAGTAGTACCTACTTCACAGGGTTGTGAGGATAATTCAGATGAACTGCTAAATATATAATCAGCCCTTTAAAACAGTTAGCTATAATTATATCCTGTCCCAAACATTCAGTGTCCATAAAAATCTGGCCTCTCTGCATTCTCCTTTCTCCATGTTTCCGACACACCCTCCCCCTTGGGACCAGTCTCGCCTCCCTCTGACCTGCTTTCCCGACTTCTATGTTTAACACCCACCATTCATCAAATGCCACAGGCCAGGCTCTGTAGTAAGCAAGTTCCCTAAATTCTCGCATAAAAACCACCAAAAGCGCCTTTGAGGTCGGTTCTATTACTGTTGCCATTTTAGAGAACAGAAAACAGGCCCGGAGGGGTTGAGCGACTTCCCCGAGGTCACTGAACTCAAACGGCGAGGCCACCGCCCAAGCTCTTAACCGCCGGCCTCTCAGCCTCTTCCCGGGTCCCAGATGCACCCGCGTCCATTCAAACCCTGCCCAGTCCCTCCACTTCCACTCGCTTCCCGGCTCCTCCGCGCGCCCATCGCCCCCCACACCTGAGTCAGGCCCCTGGGGGCACGCCCCATCGGTCCTTGGCGGCTTTTCCCTTTTCTCCGCCAGAAACTGAGGGTGAGACTGACGTCGGTGTCCGGGACGCGCCTAGGTCACCGCGAGCTCCCGGGACGGCGGGGCCGAGAGGCACGTCCCGCAGAGGAGCGCTGCAGCTCGGCCCGCGCCGCATAGCGGGGGCGCCGCGCCCGGCTCTGCCCGGCAGCCGGTCACGTGGCGGGGAGGGGGCGCGGCGCGCGCGAGCGACGGAGCGACCGAGCGGGCGCGCACGCCTGAAATCGTGTGGAGGCGCGAGTCCCAGTTCGGGTGTATGTATAGGGGGGAGGGGGCGGCGGCCGGGAGAGCCGACTCCGCCTCCTTTGCGCATGCTCGGGCCCCAGCGGGTTATAAGGCAGACTCGCGGGCCCGGCCCGACAAAGTGCTAGTGAGCGGCTACGGAGTAGCCGGCCGCGTGGGTGCCGGAGCGAGCGAACGAGGCAGCGAGCGAAGGACGCGACCTGGACCTGGGGTCCCGCGGAACTCTAGCCGCGCGGCCGCGTCACGCACGCGCTCGGCGCCGTGAGCCGCGCATAACGGTTAGTTGGGTAACGGCCGGCGGCGGGGCTTGGCGCGGACCCCGCGGTGCCCGCGGTGCCCTCGCTGCCTCGGCGAGGTCGGAGGGAGCTTCGGGGAGCGGAGATCTTGGCCTCTGGGGGAGGGAGGCAGCCCGGCGGGGGCACGTTGGCGGCGGGCAGCCGCGTGGCCCCAGAGTCAAGCGTTGGTGAAGGAGACCTTGAAGCGCTGGGGACAGCGCCGCTCCCAGCCGAACTACGGCCCGGTGGTCAGGTGCCGGCCACCGGCCTGGCCATCGTGGTGCCGGTGACCTTGGGGAAGTCGCTTCCTCTGTAGTCTTCAGTAGGCTCCCCATGAGATGCTTTTGATCTGGAAAAAGGACAACGTGGGGCTGATTCACGTGGTGCCTCCTGGCGGCGTTCTGCTCCAAGGGAAGGGACTCGGGGCTGGAGTTATTTTGGACTCGTGGCATGCCCGCCCCAGCCTCCTCGGCCAGCCAATCCTTGTCCCACTGGTGACTTGCGATAGTGGTTTGAGGAGCTGCAGTCCCCGCGGCCAAGGCGTGACTGCAGGGTTCGAGTGGACTTTGCCGAGGGGACCGGGCACCTGGCAGACTCCCAGGACTGCTGCTGACGGGGGCCCTTTGTCATTCAACCTGTGGCTGCGGCACGGCTGCCGCAGTGCCCTCAGGTCTCAGGCGGCCCTGTTGGGAGGAATCTGAAGGATAGCGCTACACTTGGTCAGATGCACGCTGTGTGTTCCAAGTACATCGTTTTTCCCACGTGCATTTTAACATTTCATTTCTTTGTCATGACTTATTTGGTGCGACAAGCAGTTGCCAAAACTAGTTTGTGATTAATCTTAACCAGAAAACAAACGTTATTACTACTTTATCTGAGTTTCCAGTGTCTGCTTATAAACTAGGCTTCTACTGATAACAGTAAGATGTTTAGGAGCTACGTTATTCACCATAACTAGTTTTGAAATTGAAATTTATTTTCACAAATTATTCTGGTTTCGAAATAAAAGATGTACATGTCAGTGCCCTGAAAACATGTGGGATTAGTAACTCCTGGCATGTTATGATAGGGTGAACTCTGAAGTGTGTGAGAGTTTGGAAGAATGTGATAAGGAATTAGCCATTAATAAACAGTTTTGATGTGAGCTACCAGCCCAGTGAGGGGAAGCAGAGGCTGTATCTTTGGCTTTTTAGTTAGGCATTAAATAGTACCCCTAAATCCAAGTTTTATACCCTGGGGTACAACTTTGTCCTTCAATTGCCGTAGAAATGATAAAGAATTCAAGACATCTAACCCTTAAAACTAGTAGTGGATATGTGTTATTTAAACAAAAGTTGAACATACTTCAGTAGTTAATTCAGTGTTTGGATAGATGCTGTTCTTTCATAGGATTGCAGTGACTCTTTTTAAATATGCAGGTTAATGGTCTGGGGAGCATTTTGTGAGATTTTTATAGCTGAATAGGTTTAAAGGTTTAGTAGTAAGCTTAACATAAGAGGCTATAACATACCTAAACAGATTAAAAAGGAAAAAAAAAAGATCATACCACCATAGGATGAAACCAACTTATTAGTGTTTCAATAGTTGACATATAGTTTGACCTTTTATTTTTTTTTTTTTTAAAGATTTTATTTATTCATTTTTTTTCCCCCCAAAGCCCCAGTAGATAGTTGTATGTCATAGGTTCACATCCTTCTAGTTGCTGTACGTGGGACTCGGTCTCGCGTTGGACGGAGAAGTGGTGCCTCGGGGCGCGCCCGGGATCCGAACCCGGGCCGCCAGCATCAGAGCGCGCGCACTTAACCGCTAAGCCACGGAGCCGGCCCTAGTTTGACCTTTTAAATATTAATGCATATATTAACTCTGGAAAAGATCTTAATGACAAACTAGTCAGTTCCCTTATTTTACAGATTAGGAAACTGAGGTTGAAGAGGTTAGGTAACTTATCATCTTAGGTCTGAAAACTTGTTAATGGTTGGGTGGGAATTATATGTGTCTTTTGACTCCCATTTGATCAGATTGGCACTCCTGAGCTTTGTCTAAAATTATAAATATGGATATAAATGATTTCCTGCTGAACATAGATATTTTGAATAATAACTTTTCCCAACTTTTTGAGTCTTTCATTCCCCTGTGTTTTCATTTCACTTCGTAATATGCATTTCTGTGGAGATCTTAGGTCCCTGTAAATGCCTACATGGCCAATCTGTTTTTGTTGCAGGTGAGAACTAGGAAGATGGGACTTGGATATGAGAAAAACAGTCCAGAAAGTTGTGAATTTTTATGTATTCAGCAGTTTGTTTTTGGCTACCGGGCACAATGAGAGACTTAGGATTCAGCAGTGAACAAGTTCCAGAACTATGCCTCCTGGAGTTTATAGTCTAACTGGAAAACAAATAAATATATAATTACCACAACAAGTTCTTTACAAACAAGTATAGAGTGTTATGATAGAGGAAGTACAGGTTCCTATGGGAACAAATACTTTATTGTGTAGGTGTGAGAAGATACCCAAGTTAGTGTAGAAGCAATCTGGGTAGGCCTCTCTGAGGAAATGCTATTTAACCTGAGACTTGAAGGATGAATAGGAGCTAGCTAGCTAGGCCAGGGAGTAATGATGGAAGGAGCATGCCAGACATGAGTGCTGAAGCTACAAAGTACAGTCCGGGGTGCACTGGAAAAACTGAAAGAATTTCACTGAAGTTAAAGCATAAAGAGGGAGCAGAGAGAATGGGGAGAGATGGAATTTGGAGAAGTAGACAGTATCAGATAATGGAAGGCCTTATAAGTCAATTTAAGGAATTAAGGAAGGGACTAGGTCAGAAAATTTAAGAAAGCGCTCTTGTCTTGAAACTAATCAAAAGCAGTTTAAGGGTTTTAAATGGGGCTGCGGATAGCATGATCATATTTTGCATTTTAGGAATATCTCTCTGGCTATAATGTGGAGAACAGGTGGGAGGGAGGCTCAGAGTGTTGTGAGACCACAGTGACGGACAAGATGAACAGTAGTGGGAGGAACGAAGAGAGAGGGGAACAGACAGGATTCATTGGTGGACTAGATGTGGGGGACTGGGGAAGCCAGAGGACTTGAAGATATCTCCCAGGTTTCTAGTTTGAACAAATATGAGTTTATGAGTTTATTAGGTGGTATTTGTCTCCATTTAACCAATTGGGACATTAAGGGGTTGGGTGCCTAGCCCAGGGCTGCTCAGCTTGTAAGGCTTGGAAACAAAACTGTAATCCATTCCTGTCCTCTCTGTAGCTTTGTTGGAGTTATTGATAGTGATGTTTTTTTCTCATTTTTTTTTCCCTTCTAAACAATTTATTCTGGAAAATTTCAAACAATTGAGAGCCACCACTGTTTCATCTATACCTCTACTTACCCCCCCCCACCCCCTACTGGATTATTGTGAAGCGAATCCTAGGTATATAATTATTTCATCTGTAAATATTTCAGTATATCTCTAAAAGATATGACTCTTAAAAAAATCATAACCACAATACCATTATCCCATCTTTAAAAATTAACATCACCAAATACCCAGGCAGTATTCAAATTTCCCTAAATTGTTTTGAAATAATTGGTTGGTTTGATTTGGAATCCAAACAAGGTCACGCATTATGTTTGGTTGGAGTGTCTTTTAATCTACAGGTTCCCCTTTCTCTCTTATTTTCCTCATAATTAATTTGTTGAAGTAACCAGGTTATTTTTCCTACAGTTCCCCTCATTCTGGATTTTGTTGAATGTGTCCCTCTGGTATAATTTTAACATGTCCTAGTTTAACATGTCCTTCTAACTCCTGTATTTCCTGTAAATTGATAGCTAGAGTGAAGACTTTGAGCAAGCTTAGATCAATTCAGGTTTGATTTCTGAGAGTATGGGTGGTATGGGGGAGAGGGCAAATATAATTCATAGGTGGTGGTGTGTATTTCCATCAGGAGGCATATGTTATTTGGTTGTCTCTCATTCTGCTATATTAACAGCCTAGTTCCATTATTTCATTAGTGGTTTGCAAATGACAATAATTTAACTGTGCCTTTAATTCTAACATTCCTTCTTTTCTTTTCTTTTTTTTTTGTGAGGAAGATCAGCCCTGAGCTAACATCCATGTTTAATCCTCCTCTTTTTGCTGAGGAAGACCGGCTCTGAGCTAACATCTATTGCCAATCCTCCTCCTTTTTTTTTCCCCCCAAAGCCCCAGTAGATGGTTGTATGTCATAGTTGCACATCCTTCTAGTTGCTGTATGTGGGACGCGGCCTCAGCATGGCCGGAGAAGCGGTGTGTTGGTGCGCGCCCAGGATCTGAACCTGGGCCGCCAGTAGCAGAGCGCGCGCGCGCACTTAACCGCTAAGCCACGGGGCCGGCCCTCTACCATTCCTTCTTAATTGATTAACTAGACTACCTCTATAAAGAGAAGTAGTTTGAATAGGAAGAACAAGTTAAATTAAAGTTTGTGTTTTTTAACACAATATCATATATGATTGAGACACTATCGTTATGGAGAAATGTATTTAAATGTATCAAGATGTATCCTCATTAAAAGCCAGTAGTGTATTAAAATGTTTTTAGGACTTGATATTAACATTTAAAGTAGCTTTTAATATTTGTAATATTTAGAATTTCTGTTCTTAAACTGATAGGATTTCTTTTGGTCTTCTCTGTTCTTTCTCTCAAAGAGCTTATCTGTTCTCATTGCTTTGGGGGAATTTCTGGTAGAATCACTACCAAATCTAAATCTCTAGCTGTAACCAGATTACAGATTTTAAGTTCCTTGAGGACAGGGGTTGACTACCCTTATCAATGATCTGCTTTTCTAGTTATCTCTTGGACGTTTCAAACTTAATATGTTGCCTAAAACTCATTATATCTGCCTGTTCTCAACTTCCCTTCATCCCCCAAACCTAGGTTTTTCTTCTGACTACCATTCTAAAACATCTCTGAATCGTCTTAATACTTCTCTAGTGGGCCCCCTGCCCTACTAAATGCAGTTATGTGCCAAACCTTTCTCCTCTGTGTTATCTCTTGTATCCATTCCTCTCCCCCTTTTTCATTCTTTTTTTTTTTGTGAGGAAGATCAGCCCTGAGCTAACATCTGTCGCCAATCCTCCTCTTTTTGCTGAGGAAGATTGGCCCTGAGCTGACATCGTGCCCATCTTCCTCCACTTTATATGGGACGCCACCACAGCATGGCTTGACAAGCGGTGCATCGGTGCGTGCCCGGCTCTGAACCCGGGCTGCCAGCAACGGAGCGCACGTTCTTAACCGCTACACCATGGGGCCGGCCCCCCCTGTTTCATTCTTATTACCGCTCCCTAGTTTAGGCTGCTGCCACGATTGGTAGAGTGGCCTTTTACCTTCTTTTACTGTCTATCGTTGCCATCCCCCTTCTCCAGTCTGTCCTACGGTGTGCTGCCGGTTCCGATTGTGTCATTTTGCTAACCAAAACTTTTTGTGGCTTTTTGGAACAGTGTGGATGGTGAGGCACAGCCCCCATCCTGTGCACGTCCCACTTTGGGTTCTCCACCCTGCCCCCCCCACCACTGCCACCCGTGCCAGAGACTGCTCAGCCTTGCACTGGCCTTTCGTTGTTGTCCATGTGTAGCATGTAGACGTAAGGACACGTGATCAAGCGCTACACATCAAGTCCAGTGTACATTGTCACCCCCATTCTCCACTGCAGCCTGAAGAACGGAATTCTTGTCTCAAACATTGAGGCGAGAGCTTTGACATTCTAGAAACTTG